GCTTCTTCTCATTACTTTTAAGAGAAAATCAAATCAAAGCTTCAATCTTTGACAAATAAAACACATATGAAGAGTCAACGGATTAAGAGCTTCAACTGAATGTGATGAAAATGTGCTGGCGATGAGGCAACGGATGAAGAGCTTTAGGAGGTGGGCCAAAGCAGAGGCTATTTTGAGGGAGGTGGGGGAGAAGAGTGGCAGTTTTTTTAAAAAATTAGGGCTATAGTTGTAATTAGTTATTTATTTTTCTTTTCTTTTCTTTTTGTTTTATTTAAATAGGAAAGCATATTCGTTGCTTTACAACTTTTTATTTAGAAATTCGATGAAAATATATGAAAATGATTATTTCAGCTATCAAAAGTGTAAATAAGGGTAAAAATGTAAAAAAAATAAAAAGTGAGAATGTTTTGCACAATGAACTTCAAACGTAGGGATGTTTTGTACTAATAACCCTGTACGGTTCAATAGTTTGACCATTAAGCCCATTTGGGCTCCATTTAAAAAAAAAAAAAGAGGAAAAAATTCACAAGTCAAGCATTAAGTATGAGACAATTCAATTTTCAGATTTTAAGTTTTAAAATTCAAAACTCATTTTAAATAATTAATTAAATATATTAATGTCACAATTATACAATTAATTGTCACATGCGCTTACTTATAGGTCACAACGCCACATTATCAAATTAATTGGTCACGGGTAATTTCATTGATCACAAATCAAAAAATTTATAGGCTACAATTTATTTGTCGGTCATAGATTTTCAATTTAATTGGTCACAAATTATCATTTTTTTAGGTCACAATGAAATAGTTGATCACATACATCAAATAGCGGGTCACATACCAACACACCAACACTTTCAAAACCACCACCACCACATCCAATCCACTACCAACAAAAATCACCAATATCAGATCTTCAGTCCCCAACAACCACCTCTATAACACACAACCACAACTAGCACTATCACACCACCACCACCACCACTAACATCCAAGCGAATCACCAACAATTAAAACAACAACAAAAAATAAAAAATTGTGACCTATCGTCACTGCAGCAGCGGTGCTGTGCAGGGCAGTAGGCTCACAAAGTCGCCATCTCCGTCAGTCGGTGGAACACCTCTATGAGATGGTGCTCCAGTAGTGAGAGAGAGCGAGAAGAGATAATGTGCGGCGACGATCTTTGATAGTGGGTGCGTCGCCGCTATTTCCAACAATGGGTGGAGCGTCGTTGTGAATTGGCGCTAAGCGTGATGTTTCGGAGTGAGAAGAGAAAATATGTGTGTGGTAGCGGTTTTCAACAGTAGGTGCATTGTCCGTGTGTGTGACGACCGTCTCCGACAGTAGGTGTGTCGCCATCGCCGTCATCGAATTAAGGGGGGTGTGGATAAGTGGAGAGAGTTAGAAGATGGAAAATGGAGATAGAATAGAATGAAATGATTTTTAAGGTTTCGAATTGAATTGGGTTGATTTGATATTTAATTATTATATTAATATCTGATATGATATGTGACCAAATAAACTTCATAGCTGATTTATGAATTGAAATCTTTAAACACCTTTTGGTATGTAATTTCCACAAAAAAAATATACATATTTTTTTTATTTTCAATCACATTCTTCAATAAGAAAACATTACACATAAATTCAAAAAAAAATTATTTTTTAACAACACATTATTTTTAAAAAATTACTATTTCAAAATACAATTCTCCAAAAATCTAATTTTAATGGAGTTCAAACATGGGCTAGAATTAGTTACTATTTGTAAGTATTCTTTTTACATATGAAAATATTTATACACAGTTAACTACATATGTCGGTCCATCACGAAAAATTAAATAATTTCCCAACAGCATTGTCCGTGTGTGTGACGACCGTCTCCGACCATGGGTGTGTCGCCATCGCCGTCATCGAATTAAGGGGGGTGTGGATAAGTGGAGAGAGTTAGAAGATGGAAAATGGAGATAGAACAGAATGAAATGATTTTTAAGGTTTCGAATTGAATTGGGTTGATTTGATATTTAATTATTATATTAATATCTGATATGATATGTGAGCAAATAAACTTCATAGCTGATTTATGAATTGAAATCTTTAAACACCTTTTGGTATGTAATTTCCACAAAAAAAATATACATATTTTTTTTTAATTTTCAATCACATTCTTCAATAAAAAAACATTACACATGAATTCAAAAAAAAATTATTTTTTAACAACACATTATTTTTAAAAAATTACTATTTCAAAATACAATTTTCCAAAAATCTAATTTTAATGGAGTTCAAACATGGGCTAATTCTATAGTTACTATTTGCAAGTATTCTTTTTACATATGAAAATAACTTATTCAAAATACAATTCTCCAAATATTTAATTTTAATGGAGTTCAAACATGGGCTAGATTTAGTTTCTATTTGTTAGTATTCTTTTTACATATGAAAATATATTAATTTAGAGAAGCTGTGATAAGACGTGAGTAGTTTCAAGACTTACTAGCTTAACCGTTCTTCTATTTCTAATGTTATTTTAATCATTCTATGATTATTAATATTAATTCGTCTTATTTCTAATATAAGGGAAAAAAAGGCCCGCGTCCTTTAATGTTTAAGCACACGTTGATTTCACTTTTCGACGCTTAGGCCGACATTAGTTACATCTTTTGACACCTGAGCCCGTCACGATATTACATAGGTGTTATTGCTTTTCAGTACAATTTTCTATCGACAAAATAACTCTACAGTACAAGTTTTATAACAAATGCAGTACGAGTATCTTAGTACTACACATCATTTTGTAAAAGACAAAATTATATTAATATTGTCGTGTTCATTTAAAAATGATTATTATGATCACTACATAACTTTTAAGCCATTTTTTTATTTTTAAAATTATAAACAAACACCACCATTATCCACTAGTAAATTGATAATTGACCTCGATATGCTAAAACATTGAAGTTGTTTGTGTGAGAGCACAAGGTTTTTCTATAGAAACCCTTGAAGGTACCATCAATGGCAGGGCGCGAATTCAGTGAGGGCATAATTCAACTATCTTTGTTTTAGAGATGGCTTCTCGTGATGTTTCCAATGTAATAAGAACAAGATGGCCCGACCAATTCAATTGAAAAAAAATTGGAAGACGGTCTAAAATTTGATTTGATCACATGTAAAAAATCAAATATTTAGAAGTCGTTAAACGAAGTCGAGAACCACTTGGTTCATTCTTTAACATCCAAAACCAAATGGTTTACTCACAACCACTTGGTTTACCTCCAATTTTTGCGTCTACTTATGTGTTCAATTCCTTATTTCGATCCTTTAGCTCTCAATCATTTAAATTTTAGGTCAATACTCAGACCAATTTTTAAAACATTATTTTTTTCTTGTTTTCGATAAACGTAAAATTCTAAGTACCAAATTAAAAATAGTCGAAATTTTGAAGGCTATGTGTTTGTTAACATCCTAATTTTATTTTATTCCACCACTTTTTAAAAATAAGTCTTCAATTTTTGCTCATTGTCAAACTTCTCAACTTTTTTTTTTGTCTCATTCACATTTTAAACATTTCACTTATTAGCACATTTTGTTTCCAATAATGGTTTCATTCCAAAAAGTCCATTACAAACATAAAAAGACTTATTTCCCTATCATATTTTAAAATAAGCAAAAAAGCAACAAATACAAATACAAATGTGCGATAAAATACTTGCTTTTCATTAATTTCAAAGGACGCTATAAATATTTGGATAAAAATAATCATTAAGATTAGATGTGCTAATTAATAGAAAATTGATAATAAGACGTGAAAACGAAGAAGATAATAATGGAAAATAATAAACAAAAGATTGCAAATATTTAATAAAATTTAAAAAATGGTGCAACAAAATAAAGAAAATTATGGAGACGACGTGGCCACCCAATTATCAAAGAAATAACATGAGTCCTAAGTTTGCAAAATAAACGACTAAAGATTCCTTAATTTCCACAGATGCAAACCCTAGTAATTCCTCCTCCTTTTCCATCCTCTATAATATTTCTCAGCATCTTGTAGCAAACCCTAAAGTCTACTTCTTTAGCCTTTAGTTTACAGTCTCTTGGGAGTGCTTTACTGTCATAAATAAAGGGAAAAAAAGTGGATCGTAGGCATGGGAAGAGGCCCCTTCCGTTCAATGAATCGGAGGAAAAAGAGGAAGTAAAACTGTACCGTATCAGCTCTGCTAGATCCCAAAGCGACACGTCTGCTATGGTTTCTACCCTCTCTCAAGGTATTGGGAACTCAGGCAAGGAACCAGAAGTTCCTACAGTACATGGAAATCTTCCTTTACCACTGCCTGAATATTCAAGTGGAAAAGAGCAAGCCGAACCTCAACCAGCAGTCCAACAAGAAGGTATAAAAACATATATTTTTTGTTTCTCTTCGGACGGTGTGAACTCAAATCCAATTCGTCACTAATCTTTTTGACCGGGAAATATTGACCTAATATCTTACAATATACAAAGGATTTTTACGGGGATTTTTGTTTTTTGAGAGACAAACTGAGATGCGCAAGATTATCATCATAATCTTCTTCTACATAGTGGAAAAACATGATAGAATGAGTGGAGGTAGCTCTTTGAGGGCGAACCATTATAAATATGTGCGTTTGGTTCTAAGTTTTTATGATCTAGTTTTGTTTAATATTGCTTTCCTAATTACGATTAGGACTTAATCCCTTGCATTTTATGTCATTTCATTCATGCATCACCATCAAGTTATATATCAATATATGTGTTTGTGTGTGTTTTCATACTGTTATTGGAACAGTATAGGGGCATATGGATATACAGTTTTTTCTGGGATTATCTATTTTGCCTTAAATTACATTTGAGCTTTCCAGAAATTGATTTTCTTGACTTGATTTTGTTCCTTTGTCACATGATATGCATAAAGGGAGTCCAAACCTGCAGAGAAGACACTATAGAGGAGTCCGGCAGCGGCCTTGGGGTAAGTGGGCTGCCGAAATCCGGGATCCAAAGAAGGCTGCAAGAGTCTGGCTTGGAACTTTTGACACTGCAGAGGCTGCAGCTCATGCTTATGATGAAGCAGCACTAAGATTTAAAGGTAACAAAGCTAAGCTCAATTTTCCTGAACGAGTGCAAGGAAAAACCGTGTCTGGTTACTTAACAACACGTCAAGATTTGCCAATAGTTTCTGAGTCGAGTACTCAAACGTCTCAGCCGCTCTCTCAAGAAAACCGCGTCATTGTCCAGACCTACGCAGAATTGCTTCGTAGAGGAGATAACCAAAATAACTTGAACTATGGTGCCTCGGGGTTTTATTATCATGGTTATGGTGGAAATTTAGTTTCACAATCTTCATCAAATGCAACAACGATACCTTCAGTACTGCCAACTCACCAACAGCACCACCAGCAACAAGAGCAAGAAGTTCTGAGATTTCAATCACAATTTGGAACTTCTAGCGCCGGTTCTACGGAAATTTTGGAAGAATCCGATAAAACAAGTCATTCAAGGAGGTAGTTTTTACATGTTTCAATAAGAAGGATCGGATGAAGATTCATGATCAGACAAAAAAAATATTGTTTGTTGTTGTAAGTTTTCTTCTGAAGTTCGGCGTTTAAGCCTGCACTTTTTCTGTCGTCTCTAAGTTAAAAGATTTCAAGAACTCAATGTATTGAAAACAAGGGAACATATTTTATCATCAAAGTTTGTTTGTGATCTAAATGATTATTTCCATCCTCTCGTGGACTTTGTGTATCTCTCGTTGCTAAAGCACTAAATCTATTTTTGATTTAGAGCCGTGTTCCATCTTTAGAAGTTCTTTAAATTCTTAGATTGAAAGCAATTGAAAATGAACTTGCATATAGCCATCAAAATTTTCTAAGGGCAGGTCAAATACTTCATTTCAGATTAGATAAAATGATAAGATTAGAATTTATACCATATGCCTCCTATCTACAACAAGGGCTAATGAATGTTTTGGCTTCTTTATGAAGGATCATACTGCTGAAAGCAGCCAATTCTTGGTTTTTAAATGTTAAGCCAAACATGCTCCTAACTATTTAATAATACTAGTACTTATTTTAAAAATAACAACTTTTTTCCTAGTCTATACTAAATTGCTTAATGGATGAAGGCTTTTTCCCAACAAATCTCATATATTTATGCAAGGGATGAAATATTTGAGTTCAACATTTAATGGATCAGTGCCCCGTCTGGGCATTCTATTCCGTTCAAGGAGCAGAAGTCAAATACTATGACTGAGATGCCTCTCCTGCTATACCATTAATTTCTTTCTTCTATGCATTTAAGGAGGTAATATTGACAATATGAACTGAATCAGTGGGCGCTGACTTATTGATCTTTCCTTAGATATAACAATTAATTGAACGAGATGAGTTTAGCAGTGAACCTATAATTATTGATAATAATACTTCATCTTGTTATCGATGTTGTAAAGTTAATAATTCAACTTAAGTAGATATAGTTGAAAGATGTAGAGAATTTCATTGATTATTAGTATATTTTTCGTACAATTAAAACATAATTTTTTGTGTTATATGAAAAGAAAGGTTTATGAATTTTTGCATATAAATAGAAGAGGAATGGCAACTACACAAGGTTTTAAATTTTTTTAATAATTTCCATGAAGTGTGTAATTTTGTGGATTTCATGTAAGAGTAAATAGCACGATTAAGCCATGTTTAGATGGTAATAAATGATAAATTAATAAAATGGATTGTATACCTTCATATTTAATTGTAATCGTACATCAGGAATGATCACTAGTGGTGATTGATAGCATTATTCTTTTTGTGTATAATAAAAATAATTTTTAAAGGACTAGTGAAATGTTAATATTATATAGAATAACAATTTGCGGTCATCTCTCCACGACCCAAAATCTTAAATGAAGATAGGATAGCCAAAATCTTTAATGAAGAGAGGATAGCCCTATAAATTTTACAACTATTTGAAAAGTTTTAACAAGTTGTTATACATTATGAACACTTTTGAATAGAACAAATGTTAAAAATCCATATTCAAAAGAGAATCGATAAAAAAAAAAAAAGTTGAAGAAACTGCTTTCGAACAAAGTGACTAAAAGAGATTTTAAAATCTAAAGCAACTTCTTCGAGAAATTCTTCAAAGAAGTAAAAGCAAAAATAGAAACCTATCAAATGGGCCCCTTCAAGAGTCTCGAGTGTGAAGGAAAGTATCATATATATTAGCTTAGTTTGTGAATAAATTAGAAATCAAGAAAGTAAAGAATGAAATACCAGAGTAAGAAAGATGGAAACTCACATACGTCCCACGAAAGCTATTTCAGATGTCTTCTTGGCATTTCCCATGTTTGACAAAATGCACTCAAAAGTATCAATCAAAGCATATATTAATCCGTTCAATCATGCTACACAAACTAGTTCAAAAATAGGGAGGACGCGTGTCGACACATGATTGGACAGTTTGAAAAATAACAAAAACAAACACCAAAACAAATGCTATTTTCTTGTCTTTGAGCACGGTGAATCATCATTATTCTAATCTGTCAGTATAAATAGAGGTTGCATACTTGCATGGCATCTCTCTCTCTCTCTCTCTATAGATATACACAAATGTGAAAGTAGCCATAAAACCTAAGAAAACATGGTCATCGAATTCGGCTTCAGATAAACTGAACGTCAAATCAAAAACATATGCGTGTTTGTCAGCTGGCTTCTTTATTTATTTCTTTATTTTTTTTTTTTGTTTTTTGCGTGTATTATTCGGTGTTTGACTTGACTAAGTAAACTGTAGGTTATTCACACGAATTCGTCAATTCTTCTTCTGCCTTTATCAAATTTTGATTTCACTATTCAAGTAACTTCCATGTGGAGCATATTCTTTCCCTGTTTAAAAGGGTGCTTTATTTGACATCTTTACTTAACAGTAGTGATTTTAAGCAGGGCTCAACCTGAATTATATCAGGTTGAGAAGAAGGGAAAAGGGAAAACAGTATGGTTGAGAAGAAGGAAAGCAAAGCAAGAAGCTAGAAAGCAAGGTGAATATTATGCAAGTGGTTGGTTGCTTTTGTTTTTTTCCTTGAAAGTCTACTTAACCTAACGGGTTGATTTAAAGTTTGAGCAATCTATTTTATAATAACTGGTCAAGATTGCTGCTAAAGTAACTATTTATAGGGGTTAAATTTTGACATGCAAGAATGAATTTTGTATACAAGCGCTGAATTTGGGGATGATAATGAATTATCATTTAAGTTAGAAAAGTGAATGGAATGATGCAAAATAAGAGTTGTAGAATAGTACTTGTTGAATTTTCTATACAAACAAAATAGATAGGGACATTGATGCTAATTAAAATTCCAAGGTCCAAACCAAACCAAAACGATAGAGATGATTTTTTTTTTTTCGAAAAGGCAAATGATATGTTTATTTTGTGTCAGTTACGTTTATTAGTTGTGATTGTGTTCAATAGATTAATAAAACGCATTCCAATTTAATTGAACTAAAAGCTTCACTATCACCTAAGTTATTGACGACGACAGACATTACTGATATTCAAAATAGTTTGACAAAATCCACCGCCTACATAAGCAGCTTTTAATTGAGGTCCCGTTTAGGGGAGGAGGCAGCTCAGGCAGGGGGGTCCTGGGGGACCCGGACCCCCCCCCCCCCC